AAAAAAAAAAACAAAAAAACAAAAAAAAAAACAAATATATTCTTCTTTTCATCATTCAGGATGCAAAAGAGGGTAGTCTTGTCATATATATGGTAGAAGTCAGTATAGATATTTTCTAAGCCGAGTCCCTTCTAACTTTGAGATCCTATGAATTATAGAAATACATTTTCTTGCTTTTTTGTTAACTGTTCCTAATTTCTTGTTGATCAAGCCACTTGACAAACTGACAGCTTAATGAAATGTATTTTGATTAATACTGAAAACACATATACTGAAATGTATATGCAGTAATTAACATGTTAGTTATCTTTCCTGATCTAGACTTTATCTGGTGTGACATAAATTCTACTTTAATTTATAGCTGATAATTTCTTCTTTATCACAGAACTACTTTATAATGCTAAAATTTTATAGTGTCAAAGTTTATAGATATCCCATAATTTCTTAGATTATCTGTAGTATATAGTTATAGATCTAAGAGTATGATTGAATACTATGGTATATGTATGCATTAATATGTTGTCATAATGGTGCCCTGATTATATTTTACTTGTATTGTTATTAAAGTATACTTCTAAAAGAGAAAATAATACATGATCATTTTATTAACGAGTCCCTGAGGAATCTTTATCATCAACATCCTTTCATATTACTTTAGTCCCGTGTTGACAGTTTCTACTTGATTAATTTGGTATGGTTCTTTATAAAGCCAAAGATCTCTACTGTAGCAAAAAATATCTGGCCTACATTTCAAGTAATTATAGCTGTATTTACCTATCAACTAGGTTTATTGGGAAACTGGTGCCCAGATCACATCTCCTCATGACAAAGAAATTCTGAAATGTATAGAAGAATGTGTGGAACCTTGGAATGGTTCCTGGAATGATAATTTAGTGGATACCAGCCCACTGAAGAGAGATCCTCTGCAGGACATTTGCAGAAGATACATGGAAGATCTTAAAAAGATCTGTTTTCACAGGTATCTATGGGGGGAATGTAGGATAGTATTACCATACAATAAGATTAATAAAGGAAAGAAATAGGAATAAAAATGTGTTGGCTATGGATTATATGAAGAATATAGCTAAATAGCACTATTCATCATAGTTAAAAGGTGAAAATAACCCAAATATCCAACTAATGAATGGATAAATAAACTATGGTATATCCATACAACAAAATATCATTCAGCTGTAAAAAGAAATATTGATGCATACCACAACATGGATAAACTTTGAAAACATGCAAAGTGAAAGAAGCCAGTCACAAAGGACCACATACTGTATGATTCCATTTATAGGAAATGTCCAGAGAAGGCAAATCTGTAGAGACAGAAACAGAAAGTATATTAGTGATTGCCTATGGCTGGGAGGAATGGGAGCGTTAGGGGGTGGTGGCTCTGGGGTACACAATTTCTTTCTGGGGTAATGAGAATGTCCTAAAATTGATTGTGGTAATGTTTGAATAACTGAACATAGTAAAAGCCATTAAATTGTACATTTTAATAGAAGAATTGTATAGTATATTAATTGCTTCCTCATAAAGCCATTAAAAATTATAGCTCAATATATGTATTCTCTGTATGAGATCAGGAAATTTCTTCTAAAATTTGATTTTGCCTTCCATATTTTCTTACTATTCCATAAATAGCTAACACTACCGCTAGAAAGCATCCTGGCTTGCTGAGTTTATTTGCTTTCTCCTAAAAAATAGATTTTAGCTTTTTCTCTAACTTATTTTAATTATACCACAAGTACCAAGTTTTGTGATATTGACTGAATAATTCTTTTCCTTTACAGGGAATTAAATTCAAAGACCACCTTGAAATTTGTACATACATCTTTTCATGGGGTCGGACATGACTATGTGCAGCTGGCTTTTCAAGTGTTTGGTTTTAAGCCTCCTATTCCAGTACCAGAACAAAAAGATCCTGATCCAGACTTTTCTACTGTTAAATGCCCAAATCCTGAAGAAGGAGAATCTGTGCTGGTATTTTTTTTCTTTATTTAAATTATTATGAGTGTGTTAAACTTCATCAAATAGATAGAACTCATTTGACAATTCAATGATTACTTACAAAAGTAGATACCATCTTACTTTACATAATTTAAATTATATTGGAGCCATATATTCTGTTTTATTTGAAATCTCTATAGTGGATATTTCTACTTCTAGGCTTTTTTTTTTAAGTTTATTTTTTTATTTTGAGAGAGAGAGGGAGGCGCAGAGTGAGAATTCGAAGCAGCCTCTATACCATCTGCACAGAGCCTGATGCAGGGCTCAGTCTCACAAGCCAGGAGATCATGACCTGAGCCAAGATCAAGAGTCAGACACTTAACCGACTGAGCCGCCCAGGAGCCCCTAGGCTTATCTTAAATTTAGCCAAACTTATATTCCTTCTAAAATTTATATCAACTAACATCATCCCTCCATTTAGAAATTAAATGAATTTAACATCTTCAATAAAATCCAATGATTTGTCTGTTTCAGGAACTTTCTTTGAGACTGGCAGAGAGAGAAAATGCCCGGGTAGTGCTAGCCACAGATCCTGATGCAGACCGACTGGCAGTGGCAGAACTTCAGGAGAAGTAAGTAAAGCCTGTTATTTAATTAAAAGCTTAAAACTTTGAAAAACAGTTTTTGATTTTAAGTCTTACAGGCTCATCGGAAATAATAACAATAAGAAAATAAATCTCCCAGAAGCCCACTATCCAAAGATAACCCTTAGGTTGATATTTTGCCATTTCCTTTCTATATTTTTTCTACTCAGATATTTGAGATATGCTATAATTGTTTCTATAAAATTGTTATTATACTATATATATTTTAATATTTTCATTGTCTTCCACTTAATATTGAACTATGAACACTCTTCAGTCCTTAAATATTGCTTAAAATATTCTTTTCTTTAAATTTTTTAGCGTTTATTTTTATTTTTGAAAGAGAGAGAGAGAGAGGGAGAGAACAAGTGGAGGAGGGGCAAAGAGAGAGGGAAACAGAATCTGGAGCAGGCTCCAGGCTCTGAGCTGTCAGCACAGAGCCCGATGCAGGACCTCAATCCACGAACCATAAGATCATGACCTGAGCCAAAGTCAGACGCTTAACCAACTGAGCCACCCAGGAACCCCTTAAAATATTAATTCTTAAAATGGAATAATACCCCAGCAGATTGCTTTATGAATACAATCATTTTCTAATCTTGGTCCTTTGGGTTGCTGTGGATTTTTATCATTATAATGTTGTGACAAATGTCCTTACACAGACAGGATATCATATTCTAAATTTTTCTCTCATTAAGTAAGAGAATAAAAGTTACAATGTAATAATTTTTCAGCAGACATTGCTGCCATTTCTACCCAAAGTTCACCCCTGGTGAGTAAGAAATGGTACTAAATGTTTTCTCAAAAATCTCATATAATAGTTCTTGGATTTTCCTATGTGAAGGATGGTAATTTGTTTGTATGTCTTAGGGTCAAGAAATTTTAATAAGAAGTTATAAAAGTGTTGAACTGAATTTTCATTCTCTCTCCAGTGGTCATTGGAAAGTTTTCACAGGGAATGAGTTGGCAGCTTTGTTTGGGTGGTGGATGTTTGATTGCTGGAAGAAAAATAAATCAAGAAATGCTGATGTGAAGAACGTTTATATGTTAGCCACCACAGTCTCTTCCAAAATTTTGAAGGCAATTGCACTTGAAGAAGGATTTCATTTTGAAGTAAGAAAAGATAATATCTGTGTGCTACTTTTCTAAATCAATTTCTTTTTTAAAATTACATGAGCTATTACTTAAACCCATTAATCTGACAATTTTTTCAAGTTTATTTATTTTGAGATAGAGAGCACGAGCTGGGGGAGGGGCAGAGAGAGAGAGAGGGAGAGAGAGAATCCGAAGCAGGCTCTGAGCGATCAGCACAGAGCCTAATGCAGAGCTCAAACTCACAAACTATGAAATCATGACCTGACCTGAAATCAAGGGTCGGATGCTTAACCAACTGAGCCACCCAGGTGCCCCTCTAAATCAATTTCTATACATTAAATTCACCTCCCCACTAAAACTGACTTTTATTGATTTGATTTATAATCCCCCCTTTTTTCTAATTCTGTTAAAATTTGCTCATCTTTTGACAATTCAGACACCTTGAGCCAAGTTCATCCAGTATGTGAATTTCTGGAACTAAGATAAGATGTTCTTTAAAAATTGAATTAATGCTTATTATTTCATACAACAATACTTGGTTTTCATACTGAGAAAATCTTGCTCCTAGTGATCTCATCAGTAGCATAAACTCCATTCCAAAAAATTGTAGGTATCATCGACCACTGTTTAGGCTCTTCAGGTTCAGTCTTAAGAAAATTAAAGCAGTCTTCTAAATTGTAAATGAAGACCCAATGATTCTCCATCCAAAAAAACAAATAATGACTCACTCTCAGCACAGATCTGTAACCTCTGTCTCAGGCGGTTAAGCTGACAGTTTTTAGAGCTTCTGAAACTGATGCCAATTAAATTGCTTTTCCTCTGCCATCTTTGCCAAAATGTCAGTGTAAATGTCACCTCTGGGCCTTCTTTTTTTTTTTTTTTTTTTTTTTTTTAGCCACAGCCAAGCTACAGGTCTTAACATTAATTGGCTGAATAAAATAAAATTATACCTGTTTTAATGAAATGGAACTTTCATTCTCAGGCTTTTAAAGAAATACAAACAGCAAAAGAGCAGAAATTGAAAATTTATTCAAGCTTGAGATTCTGAATTATATTAATGTTAACATTCTCCTTGTTAATATCTCTGGCAAAAACAACATACAATGAGCACAAAAGAGAAAAAAGAATCTGATTCTGGAGACCAATATTATAAATTTGCTTCCTTGTGTTGTTGTATGTAAGGAGGTAGCAGAGGTTTTTGGCTTTTATTTTTTCCCACTGAGGAAGTAGAGAGGTGAATTGGGAATCATAAGCTAGTAATGGTCAGCTCTAGAATCAGTGTCTATCACATGCTCTTTCTGTTGACTCTAAAACAGTTCACGTCTTTATTTATTTATTTTTTTAATCTTTATTTATTTTTGAGAGAAAGCAACAGAGCGCAAGCAGGGGAAAAACAGACAGAGAGGGAGACACAGAATCTGAAGCAGACTCCAGGCTCTGAGCTGTCAGCACAGAGCCAGATGCAGGGCTCAAACTCACCAACCGCGAGTTCATGACCAGAGCTGAAGTTGGATGCTTAACCCACTGAGCCACCCAGGCGCCCCATAAAACAGTTCATGTCTTTATTTTTTTTTTTAATGTTTTATTTATTTTTGATAGAGAGAGAGCATGCATGGGGGAGGGGCAGAGAGAGAGGGAGACATAGAATCTGAAACAGGCTCCAGGTTCTGAGCCACCAGCACAAAGCCCGATGTGGGGCTTGAACTCAGGAACAACAAGATCATGACTTGAGCTGAAGTTGGACGCTCAACTGACTGAGCCACCCAGGCACCCCAGACAGTTCATGTCTTTAAAGTGAACGGTAGCTCATCAGATGAAAAGTCCTTGAATCTAATTACCAAAGAAGGGCTCAGTAACTCTCTTGGGTTTATTTAGGCCATGGTATTAGAGTAGGGAACACTTGGTTCAAGCTTATGCTGTGATAATGTTGTAAGTGTATCATTAAAAACCTTTATGGCCTTCAATTATTCAGGGGGACTAAATCACACCCTTTGTAGGGTGCTCTTATATTAGTACTTATAATACAGCCTAAAAGACAGTTTCTGAGAAGCAGTGTAATTGAATCCTGGCTCTATCTCATATACGGCATAATCTTGGGCAAATTTACTGAGCCTCTATTTCAGTAACAGAGTTTTTGTAAGCATTTAAAAAGACAGTGATATAGAGCACCCGTTAACAGTGCTTGATAAATAGTGGATGATCATAATAGATGTGTGTATTTATGTTACTATTTGTATCACCACTTTTAACTGCTGGACTGTATTTGGTGCAAATCACCTATTTGTGTGCTCAATGAATAGTAGTTCATCAGTCGTGGCAATGTGAATCCAAGCATTTCCTGGCTGTATGCTTACTACTTTATAAATCTGTGTGGACCAAACACCGTAACAGAAGATCACTATGAGAGTGTTATGTGCGTTTAGCAATAGGCTTTACTATATTTTTATGAGGAGTCACTTAACTAGAGTGGCCTTCTGTGCATTTCAGGAAACATTACCAGGTTTTAAATGGATTGGATGTAGGATAAAAGACCTCCTGGAAAATGGGAAAGAAGTCCTTTTTGCATTTGAGGAGTCAATTGGTATGTAGTAAATATTAAAATCTTTGAAATTTGAATGAGAGCATCTTTTTAAATATAGTAATTCTATGGAGAGGAGTTTTTGTCTTCTGGTTTTGCATTTTGTGTTGTAAAAACCATAGAGAACTCAGAAATATGTGGCTGCATTTTTCATCGTGGGGAAAAAAGACCCTTAAAAATTCCCTAAATACCTTCAGTATCAAGGGGTATCATCTGTTACTAGGCTCTTAAATTCATTTGTTCTTCTGAAGAAATAAAACTATTGAAATTAGTATTTTTAATTTTTTTTAATGTTTATTTTTGAGAGAGAGTGAGACAGAGCATGAGCGGGGGAGGAGCAGAGAGAGGGAGACACAGAATCCAAAGCAGGCTTCAGGCTCTGAGCTGTCAGCACAAAGCCTGACACGGGGCTCTAACTCACGGACTGTGAGATCATGACCTGAGCCGAAGTCGGACGCTCAACCGACTGAGCCACCCAGGCGCCCCTGGAAATTATTTTTTTCAAGTTTATTTATTTATTTTGAAAGAGGGACAGCATGAGTGCAGAGGGGAAGAGAGAGAGGGAGAATCCCAAGCAGGCTCCATACCATCAGCATGGAGCCAGATGTGGGGCTCGAACCCATGAAACCGTGAGATCATGACTTGAGCCGAAACCAAGAGTTGGATGCTTAACCACTGAGCCACCCAGGCACCACTAAAACTATTGAAATTATTATAGGCTTAAGTTTTCCCCTTTTTTCAAAAATGTGTTTTAATTCTCAGGTTTTCTGTGTGGAACTTCAGTTTTGGACAAAGATGGGGTGAGTGCAGCCGTTGTTGTTGCTGAGATGGCAGCTTACCTGGAAACCATGAACATAACATTGAAACAACAACTGACTAAGGTTTATGAAAAGTAAGTTATGTTATTATGAATTTCTAGTTTCAATTGCTAAATTTCTCAATTTTTTGGTTCTCCTTTTAGATTTCTAAATTTGGTTTTGAAAATAGCCAATCCTTTTTAAAAAGTTCTAAAACTGAACTAAAGACTTCCACTTTCTACATAATACAATAATAGGCTTATCTTTAATATGTGCTTTCCTGAAGAGTTATCTGACATCTGATTTTAACACTTTAAATTTTTGTGCAGATATGGTTATCACATTTCAAAAACATCCTATTTCTTGTGTTATGATCCGATTACCATCAAAAGTATATTTGAAAGGCTTCGCAATTTTGATTCTCCAAAAGAATATCCAAAATTTTGTGGGGCATTTGCTATATTGCATATACGGGATGTTACCACTGGATATGACAGCAGTCAGCCTAATAAGAAATCAGTAAGTACCCATATATATTTTTTTAAGTTTTTTAACAATTTGTAGTACTTTGTACTATAGTGAAATGGTGGAAATTCAAGCCTGTGAGTGTCTTGAAACTAGGGGATTCATTGTTTTTCTTCAGAGCATTTTTTTTTCAATTTTTTTTTGTTTTTTTAATGTTTGTTTATTTTTGAGAGAGAGAGACAGAGTGTGAGCCAAGAAGGGGCAGAGAGAGAGAGAGAGAGAGGGAGAGAGAGAGAGAGAGACAGACACAGAATCTGAAGCAGACTCCAGGCTCTGAGCTGTCAGCACAGAGCCTGACGCAGGGCTCAAACCCACGAACCATGAGGTCATGACCTGAGCCGAAGTCTGACGCTTAATCGACTGAGCCACCCAGGTGCCCCATCTTCAGAGCAGTTGTAATCCCAGAGCCTCCCTGCCTCTGATCCTGTCCTCCTCTTTCTCCATGTGGGGAGATGGGAAAGAGAATTAGACAAAAAGAGAAAGGGAAGGAGAGAGGGAGAATGTGTGATGATGCTATATAATGCTGAAAATAAAGCCTAAAAGCCTGTTGTTTCAAAGTTCACAATTAACCCCCTTCTATTTGTAACTTCCGTTTTCAACCTTATTCCCTATACCTGTAGCCAAATAGAACAACTTAGTAGTTTCTTACATGCATACATTTTTATTAAAAATTTCTCTCTTCTTGCTCAAGCTATTTCCTCAGTCTTTGTTTCCTTCCTGTTGCTGCAGGTCCACACCTTAGCCATTATTTAAGACTTCAGACAAATGTCACCTCCTCCACATACCCTCCAGGTCCCAAAATTAGATATCTTCCTCCTGAGGTCATTATATATGGTGCCTTCCTCTTGTCACTTATCACTTTCTATCTTATCATTGTGTTGTACATGGCAGATCCATTTCTGATACACCTCTGTGCCTCTCAAGGCTCCTGCCTACGTGGTAGGTGCTCAACAAATATTTAAATGCTATAGATTGCTGATCATATGTATTTGGTTATTGTTATGGTTATTAGCCTAAATTTCCATTTATAATGTCCTGATGTCTCAAGTTGCTAGGGGCATAATATATTTTGGGAAATCTGCAACTTCTTGTGTATAATATAGCTCATAATCCTTTTATGTGTGTATAGTCATCTGGTCAGCAAATATTGGTTCCCAGTTGTTGGTATTCTGTATATGTGCAAGGATGTGTGTATCTATTTTTCTGTCTTTGTAAACTGCTTGAAGAGAAGAACCAAATTTTTTGCTTCTTTTTATTTCACTACTGTTGCTGTGCTCAGAGTAGTTCTTGCTGTGATGCTTTTTTCCTATTAACCCCCTTCAAGCTTTATGATATTCATTATTCAGAGTACTCTTCTGTGTGTTCTCTGCAGATGCTTACAACAATTTTATAAGGCAGGTGCTATAGATGTTGTTAATCCCCTAAGGTCACTTAGTAAGTGTCAAAGACTTTGTTAGGTTTTTCTTCACATTTCAGATTGATATTCATGTGTATGTTCAATAAGCATTTATCAGAATCCTTTGGTGCTACAGGTACAGACACACTGGAGATAGAGCAATGACAAAGGCGCTGTTTCTACACTCAAGAGTCTAGTGGGGAAATGGAAGGAAACTGATTACAACGTGACAAATGCAACCAGGGGGTGCATAAGGTGCCATGGAAGAGCATAGGAAGGACCCCTGCTCGGATTTGGGAGGCTTATGGAATACATTCTAGAGGACTTTTGGGAGTTGAGTAAGAGTGGGAGTTATCCAGATGTAGGAGGAACAGTGGGTGTTCAGGCAAACGGAGCAGCAGGTGCTAGATCTGGAGGTGAGAAGACATGTTCTCCTTCATAGAACCACAAGGAGTTCTCTACAGCTGTAGTGGTAGTGTGGAGTTTGAGGCAGAATGGCCTGTGCGGTGTGCGGGTTAGAGAGGGACAAACTCCCAGGCGGGAAGATCAGTTCATATGCTGTTTCAGTAATCAAGCTGAGAGATGATGGGAGCCTGAATTTTTTTTATGTTTATTATTTTTGAGAGAGAGATTGAGAGTGGGGTAGGGGCAGAGAGAGGAGGGGGCAGAGGATCTGAAGCGGCTCCATGCTGACAGCAGAAGAGTCTGATGCTGGGCTCGAACTCACGAACCATGAGATCGTGACCTAAACCAAAGTTGGATGCCTAACTGACTGAGCCACCCAGGTGCCCCTAAATTTAATATAGTAGCAGTGGAGATAGAAAGTTGGGCGAAGTAGAATACACAGGACTTGCTAATTGATGGTCTGTGAGTGAAAAAGAGGAGAAGAAGGTGTCTGGTTTTTTTTTTAATTTTTTGTAATGTTTAGTTTTGAGAGAGAGAAAGAGACAGAGTGTGAGCAGGGGAGGGGCAGAGAGAGAGGGAGACACAAAATCTGAAGCAGGCTCTAGGCTCTGAGCTGTCAGCACAGAGCCCATTGTGGTTCTCAAACTCATGAACTGCAGGATCATGACCTGAGCCAAAGTTGGACATTTAACCGACTGAGCCACCCAGGAACCCCAGAAGGTGACTGTTTTAAGCAACCGGTGTATGGTAATACCACTGAGGGAGGGGTTTCACGGAGAGGACCAGGCTCAGGACACCTGGTGAAAGGCACCACTGTCAAACCCATGTCACAGTACAACCCCCACAGGTCCCCCAAGATACCTTCATAGACAGATCTGTGGTCCAGGAAGAGTACAAGTGTTAATCCATATGTTCAATGTCAAAAGTAAAGCTTTATTTCTTTTTTTAACTTTTACATAAAAAGTATACAATTTTTTTGTACCCCAGTAGGTTATTTGCCCAGTCCTCTAGGATATGGGCACTCTGCTTTGGAAGCTATTGATAAACTGTGAAAGTGCTTTGAAATTGTAAAGCACTTTGCAAATGTAGAGGCAGTTTGGACTTTGGTACAAATAGGCCTGGCCTCAGCTTCTTGCTCTGCCACTTTAGCTGATTACCTCGACTAGGTTGTTTACTCTTTTTGAAACTTGTCGGTAAATTGGAAGTAATATTTACTTTGGAAGATTATTCTTGAGGCCTAGAGACCATGTATATAACCCAATGCCTGTACTATTATAAATGTTAAGTACATGGTATATTTATAAATTATTATGTATGTACTCTTGTATTTTATGATTCTTTTAAAAATATTTTCAACTGTAAAAAACACATAACATAATAGGTACCACCATAACTGTTTAAGCATGCAGGCCCAGCAATGTTAACTATATCTGCATTATTTTGCAACAAATCTCCAGAACTTTTTCATCTTGCTAAACTGAAACCCCATACCATTAAACAACTGCCCCCGCCCCCCACCAGCCCTTGCCAACAGCCTTCTACTTTCTGTTTCTATGAATTTGACTCCTTTAGATACCTCATGTAAGTAGCGTATGTTTTACAACTCTTGAAAATGAAAAAGGTACGGAGTGTAACTAAGCTGTTGTTAAAATTGTGCATAGGTGCTGCCTGTGAGTAAAAACAGCCAAATGATTACATTTACTTTTCAAAATGGCTGTGTGGCTACTCTTCGGACAAGCGGGACAGAACCCAAGATAAAGTATTACGCAGAGATGTGTGCATCACCAGAGCAGAGGTGAGAATTGATTTTTTGAATATATACACACACACACACACACACACACACACACACACATGCACATATATAAAGTTTATTGAGATACAGTTCACATACTGTACAGTTTACCCAAAGTGTACAATTCAGTGGTTTTTAGTATATCGTGAAATCATTACAATCAATTTTTTTCTCCATGTATTCTCTTTTTTTTTTATTCTCAAATTAGCTAACATAACAGTGTAGTCTTGGCTTCAGTAGATTCCAATGATTCATCATGTATAACACCCAGTTCTCATCCCAACAAGTGCCCTCCTTAATACCCATCATCTGTTTTCCCCACCCTCATCAACCCTCAATTTGTCCTCTGTATTTAAGAGTCTCTTATGGTTTGCCACAATCATTTTTTTTTTTTTTTACTAACAATTTTAGAACATTTTCATCACCTCAAAAAGAAACACCATCCCCATTAGCAATCACTTGCTATCCCCCACCCTCTTCACCCTAGGCGGCCACCAATCTACTGTCATTATAGACTAGTTTATTGTGGACATTTCATATAATGGAATCATACAATATCTAGCCCTTTGTGACTGGCATCTTTTACTTAACATAATGTTTTCAAGTTTCATCCATGTTGCATGAATCAGCACTTTATTCCTTTTTTAAAAAAAATTGTTTTCATGGCCTAATGATATTCTATTGTATGGGTTATAAAACTTTTTTATCCATTTTTTATCCATTTTCAGGCAGTGGACATTTGGGTTATTTCCACATTTTAACTATTAATGAATAGCAGTGCTACAAATATTTGTGCAAAAATTTTTGTGTGGACATGTTTTCATTTCACTTGGGTATATAGGTGGTGTAGAATTGCTAGGTCACATGGTAGTTCTATGTTTAACCTTCAGAGAAACTGTCAGACTATTTTCCAAACCAGCTGTATCATTTAGAAATTGAATTTTTAAATTTTAGTGAATTTTTATTACTGGAAGGTTCTGTGAGCTTTAACTGTTATATGTTGAACATAAAGAAATGATGAACAAATAATTTATTTTCAGACAATATTCATTTTTAAAATTTTTTTTTTTTAATTTTATTTTGAGAGAGAGACAGAGAGGGAGGGAGAGAATGAGCAGTGGAAGGGCAGGGAGAGAGAGAGAGGGAGAGAAAATCCCAAGCAGGCTCTGTGCACAGAGCCCCTTGTGGGGCTCAATCCCACAAACTGAGATCATGACCTGAGCCAAAATCAGGAGATGGATGCTCAACCAACTGAGCCACCCAGGCGCTCTGAGAATATTCATTTTTTACATCAAATATGATTTGACTTAATCTGCCTAATTTATTGCCTTTTAAGAGTAAGAATTGTGACTAAATTGACTTTAATAAACATCTCAAATGCTATTTAAACTTACTAAAAGTAGTACCTTGTCACTGATTAATATACTTTTGGGAAGGAGATTTTTTGGAATTGCCTTCAGAGTCCGAGGTACATTATTTTGTATGTTCCTAAGTCTTTGCATTTAAGAGTAGATTTTATTTCCTTTGGGGGCAAAAAGACATCCTGAAGTCATTCAGAGTAGAGTTTAAAGGAAACCAAACTGGGTAATGCTATATTTGGCTAAAACTAAAGGATGATTATTAAAGTAACAAAAAATGATTGTGAAGTCAGTTGAGAAGAGGCTTTCCGGGAAATCTTTTGGGCAACAGCAGTGATGACTTTGAAGCACATACCTGTAAGTGTATATTTATTTTTTAAACATCTCATTTTTCTAGTCACATCTCCCTCTGTACCTGAATCATGCCATGTCATCCCATAATATTTACTGGGTATCCTTCAAAGTTTTCAGGAAGCCATTTTAGCATAACACCTAGTATTGGTGTTCTAGGCCATTAAATTGCCTAACTCAGGAGAAATCTGTAGATATACCGAAACTCATCCATGTACTGTGTACCAAGAAACTCCCTTTCGTGAAATTCAACTTCAGTTGGTGATAATTGTGTTTTGTGTGTGTGTGATCGTTTCCCCTTTAGTCTTGTTTTGTTTTAACTGAGTGAACTTCTGTTTTGTTAACAAATTGTTTGATCATCCTCTCTGGAATATGTCCTCTTAAAATTATAACAATTTAAATGAATTTTAAGGTGATGAAAATGAAGAATTTCAAAACCCTTAATCTTTCTCTTCAGTGACACTGCCTTACTAGAAGAGGAATTGAAGAAACTCATTGAAGCTCTGATTGAGAATTTTCTTGAGCCCAGTAAAAATGGACTGATCTGGCGTTCTGTTTAGTGCACACCAGTACATCATTTCTTTGCACTGGCACATGGAACAGAACAGCAAAGAACTCCATGTGTTGACATCATATTAGCATTCTCTCCCTATCTCCTCTGGCCAAGTATCCTTTTACTTTTATTTTCTTTCTTTTGGTTAGCTGACTAAACAAACTATCAATTTGAAATGCAATGGTCTGGAGAGAAATGATTCAAATTTTTTCATAATCTTGAACAAAAGTCATTGCATTAAAAGTATTATAGTGACACGTTGTTCTTCCTTTAACAAAAAAAAAAAAACAATACATAAGTGAGTTTTCTTATTTAAGTGTGATTAAGCTTAGTTCCATATTATAATTGTGTAGAGCATGGTTTTTAAAAAAAAAAGGCAGATAAATGCTATATAATTGTAGAGTTAGTTAAGGAAATTAATCTATAAAATTGACAAGAAAATGGCATTGCTCCCATAATACTGTGGGAAAGTGTCATTGTTATGTCACAGGTATTAACTTACAAAGTAGAGTATTTGAAATAGGGTATTTGCATTTTTAGCTTAGAACCGATGTTACAATATGTGGTTTCAGCTTCTCTTTTTCAGGTGCTCTTAATGTAGTGTGAACTTATTGTACGTATTTAAAATTCTGACGTTTACTGAACGTAAAACAATAGTGGCAATGCTCCTAGTGGTTTCGTTCTTGTCAGATTTCTTAGTGCCTTCTCAGGGTATGGTATGAATTAAAACAGTGTTCCTGCATTGAATATAATTTAATCAGCCAATTTTCAGACAGTTGAGGAAATCTTCCAAACTATGTAGGTGCTTCCCCTCTATAGCAAATAAATTTGCCCTTTAAAAAAATCTTATGAATGTAAATAAAAATGTTAATAAAGGCAAACTCAGTGTAACTATACTGAAGGATCTTCATGTTAGAATTCAGGCTCAGTAATCACAGCCTTCAAGTAAAGAAAAAAAATCTGAACTGAGAAAGGAGCTCTAAATTTATTTAAATGTCTAACTTTGGAATTACATTTTTATAAGTAGATTTATTCCTTTATCAGATGAAGTAATGCTAATTTTACTAAGAAATAAAATATCCAGATTTTAGGTGTTAGAAAACACTAAAACTACATGTTTTAAAACTAAATTCCAGTTTGTTCTAACATCTTGCTGGCCACTGTAGAATTTCTGATCTCAAGAGTATTCTTTACCAATATGGAAAAAAATTTTGGAAGGTCACTTTTGGTTGATTCCCCAGACTTCTAAAAAAGTCTTAATAGAGAAATACCGTTTAATCTCCTTAAAGTGTATCCTGTCCTATATAACTCACAGAATAATTAAACCCAAGTGCTGTAGTTAAGAGGTAACAATCACAAGGCCTTGTGTGTAATTATACTGAACAAATAGCTAGTGGGATATAACTGGTATTAGAGAATTTATTTCGTAAAAAATAATAATAACATAAAATTTAAACATTTATTAAATAACAGTTTGGTTTATTGCAGCTATCAGCTAACATTTGGTTGAACCCATATAGTCCAAGTATAATTTTCAAATTATTGTATTGCCACTATTGTTAATTTGTTCCTTCCTTTCTTATAGCTAGATCTTGTATGACTGTAGGTAATAGCTAGCTAAGGGTAGAGCACCATACTTCTGAATGACATTGTTTTCAAAGGCTTTGCACTAGGGAAAATGTGTATACTTTTTTGCTTTATTGGCTTTAAGGAATGTAGAATGTAACTTAGGAGATAGCCTATATTCTGCCAAGTATTATAAACAATGCTATATATGTCAAAAATATGTGTATTGAGCTTTAGTGTCTGTGTTTCCATGACTGAAGAACAAAGTGAAGCTAAAATGATATGATAGCCCATTCATAATCACTAAAGCCATGTCATGATTGTCATTCTATTATAAAGAGAACAGTTTGAGTGCTTTAATATAATACAATGTTTAAGTCATCTTAATCAAGGTGAAAAGTTATGAAAGCTTAGGTTATCTCAAAAATTTAAAAATCCAAAGTTAAAATTAACAAAATTTTACAAATGTTCCTGAAATGTATAGATTGAGGGAATTATTAGATTCTAGCCAAGCTCTCAAGTCTATGTAAGCATGGTATTTTAACATGAACTTGACATAGTGGGTATACAGTGGCCTAATAGAATAAATCAGTAATCCAAGTCAACCAGGAAGGGCAGAGGTGCTGGCCCATGAGTCTCAGCCTTGGGCTCTACATTGTTTAGCTTTTTCTTTATGAATTATATCACAAAAATGAATGCATTCTCCTTGAGTATATAGATCAAAACTGGGCTTCTCTAGAGTTTTGGGGAAAAGGAACAAACTAGTGGGGCAAGGTCAAAGAATACATTGAAAATAAGCAGTAGAAATAAACAAACAATAGAAAAGTCAATAAGATGGCACAGGAACAACTTCTTGTGAAGAGCAAACTAACCTCTCAAAAAGTAGGGAATAAACTGGCTGTTGGGCAAGTTATTTAGCTGTGTTTGTTATTATGATGAACAAATAGCGAACCTTTTGCTTTCTTTCCTTTATTAGCAACCACTAAAAGGAAGCCAAGTTTTAGGAGGTGAGAAAAAGTACCCCTCTTACTGATTCAATTCCTGCTAGGATGTTGTGTCTTAGGATCATATGGGAACTGGGGAGGAGAGGACATAGCAGAAATAAAAAGGAATATAATACAAATTGGAAAATAAGACTTGTGAGAAAGAGTTCAAAGAATTAAGATCATTTAACTCTGGAGGGGAGAAAGCTGTTGAGATAGTTTAATAAGTCTTCTTAAGTTATTAGTTGAATCTTTTATTGAAAGGCTCAAAGTAAGAAGAAATATATCAAACTATTCTCTATCTTCAATGAGGACAGACTAAAAAAGAATAAAGATCTTTTTTAAAAAATTAAATAACAAATTTATATATTAAGGAATGTACTAAATGGATTTTAAAGGTTCCTTCCAATACTTTTTTTTAAAACTCAGGTTGGGACAATGATGATATCATAGCACTGAAAGTTACATTTGAGTTTTTGCTCCTTATCTAGAAGAATTTAGCTCACAAGAGAGTTTTTGTATATGTTGAGTAGTAGACGCATGAGTGCAGTCTTTATTCACTGCATAAAGACCTGCTTGGATATTGTTTTTAATTTAACCTGGCAAATAAGTGAGACTTGAACACCATTTTATTCATCTTGAAGACTATATAGCATTATAGGATATTTGAGGGTTTTGTTTTAACTGTATTGTTATTTGGGTGTCCTAACTTCAGCAGAGAGGAAGACTCTGTATACTCTGGGCATAATAGTGTGGATCCAGTGGAAAAAGACTGGATACTCTGGGCATAACTTTATATAGGAAATAGACCTCCTATTTCTTAAGGAGGTTGCTTCTGGAATTGATCGAACAAAGGTATTAGCTGGAGTTTAATGGAGAAATTGTTCTATGAACTATGAATTGCTGCTATTGGTATTTCTTTCAGATGTTTTCCACTGATATTTGTGATGCTTGAAAAATCCAAATTTTGATTGGATAAATTTATTTTATGCCTTTTTCTCTCTACCTCCCTTTTTCCCTAGGTCCCCTCCCACATTTTGTTACTGTGAAAAGCTATTGCCCTATTACCTCACTGATAAGAAATCTTAATTGTATTCATTCAGAATGCTTTAAACGTGTTCATAAACTATGTCTGTTTTTTGGACTTTTGGTTATTTTGTTATTATTGTGAGAATATTTAAGACATTGTAAGAAGTAATTTTAAATCTATTTCATAACCTTTTTGGTCTGTCTGGATACTACTATATGTTAATTTATTATAGCCTTTTACAATTCATTTGTTTTTCTGAGATTGCTCTAGAAACTGATGAGGAAAGAGTCCTACTAATCAATTGAATGGTCAATTGATCTCACATATTATTTCAGGTTTCCTTGTACTTGGGGTATCCAAAGCACAAAATTTGAGGAAATCTTTTTTCACATTTGTCCCCAAAGCATCTTACCATAAGCCGTAAGAAGTCCCAGGTGGAACGAAGAGGATCTTTCTTTGCAGGACTTAACACAGCACGATTTTCTTTAGTTCCAGGTGGAAACAAAGTTAAAGTTTTCCATTGGTTACTTTAAAAAATTAACCATACTATTACATTCATTAAATGATCTTTTCTCTTTGTTCATTCAAGACTGTGTACTTGAAAAAGAGGACATATAAGAATGAGTAACATGTCCAAGGTAAGGGCAAATGACATATCTAAAGTTTGCTTCTCAAATATTTCCACCCTAAAGCAGAAGAGTATAAATACTCTTGGGGGGGGGGGGAGGGGGAAGGGGCCCAAGCACAAAATCTGAAGTAGTCTACCACTCGTGAAATTTCGTGTTCTGTCTTAAAAACGTAAGTTGAATTTTGCATTCTCCATAATAAAACTGTTTCGACATAAAGATGATTCCTTCAGTCTTCACGGAAACCAGTGCTGCCGGCAAGGAGCACCACATTTAGCACACGGCCTCTCAGTTTTCCCCCTCTACCCTCCTCAATTGCCGCGTCTGCCTGGTGGTACACACACTGACTTTGGGAAATATAGACATAGGACATACCTAGGATATTCCCTGCCTTTTAAAAACTGAACTTTGAAAGTATTAATGCCAAATTAAACTGAACTGAAACAGCTCCGTTCACTGAGCCTTATGTAATATTGTCAGAGGTGTTGGCCCGTTTGTTTTCATTAACTCATTGGCATTTCTTGACCGAGAAGGAGCACCCAACTATCAGCTCCCTGAGAGCAGAGATCATGTTTTATTAGTTTTTCATACCCACACCCTCCCCCTGCCCCCCAGATACAGTACCTGTTATAGAGTGCCTAGTTGGTGACAGTAGGAATTAGGGGGTTGTATTTTAAAGAAACTAATAGTTTAAGAAACAATCAAAAATGTTAATTTTCTGATTCAGTTTTTTTAAGCATTTCTCATTGCTGGAATTTATGATAAATCTTCATTAAGCATGCACACCCTTAAATACTGTTTCTTTTGAGAGAGCAGAGCATATTCCTATTTGCAAATTATATATAATGCCTAGTATTTTACACTCAAAGCAAGATGTTGGCCAAGTAGGCTAAGAAGGTATCTATGTAGACTTAATATCACGGGTTATAAGTGCCATTTTGAGCCTAATAGTGCTACCTTCCAAGTGAGTCACAACTAATTTGAAACTATTTGGTATATTTTTGTCCACTGTTATGATTCATCATATATCTTAAAAGAGGCACTCAAACAAGAGTCTGCATCTGTATATAT